GTGATTGCTATTCACGGAACTGCAGTAGATTTTTMGAGCATTACTACAACCGGCCGTTGTCCCGATAAATTTCCGAAAACGACTTATAACTCGTTTTACAAAATATACTCATTTTTATGGGTAATCACAGTTTCTTTTCCATTTTCTTTATTTAAAAATAATGGACTCCCTCTCATTCGCAAATCGCAACTGCCTTATTTACAAAAACTTTTCGAAATAAACGTTTGTTTACGATGTTAAAAGAATCTCTCTGTTCATATTATGTATAATAATATATATATATATTAAACGCGGTTATGTTCAATTCGCGCAAAATATGACGAAGTAGGACCTATATACGTAGTACGCAGTTATCGAAACAATAGACAATATTATACATTACATATTATTATTCTGTGCTCTTGGCCTCGTGCTCAAAATCTATTCAATTGCCATCCTATTCAACAATCTTCAAAAGACATGTCCTACGATAATTAAACGGCATTTCACACACCACTAGACCGTTGCTACCCCGACAACGCCATTATTGTTCAAGAACGTTCATCAATTAATCAACTGTAGAATTAACTGCAGTGTTAGTATACCTACTAAACAATAGTTATTAATTATTAAATAGGTATTAAGTTAATTATAAATCTGTCAGTTATTTCTGATACACTACTCGTCGGTGTGTAAACTGTTTGTTCTAATTAGACGCATACTAATCCACATTTCTATCAACCACCTCATCGTAGGTACATCTAAAAATTAAGTGTAAATAATTGTTTGTACACAGTCTTAAATATTAAACAGGGTGATTCGCCGTATATGTTTATTGTTTAATGTTTACCAATTTTATTTAATCGTTTATTCAAATTTTGATTTTAGAAATTTTCGAGTATTCTCAAATATGTCCTATACATATATGTATATTATATGTTCAAATACTTATAGAATTTGATGCCATTTAGAGATACCATAAATTGCATTTTTCAAAAGAAAACCGTCCTTTTTTATATTATACATTGTTTAGTAGATGCATAATTATTTTTAAAAATGTTGATGCAATTAAATAAAAATACTAACGTATGGTTTTTAAATGGTAGAAAATCTAAATATTTGTATATAATATGGTCTTAACTCTTAAGTATACCTAGTAATTTAAAAATTTCATAGATCAAATAAAAATCAGTATCAAATAAATTCATACTCAGCTTAACAAAAAAAAATCGTAAAAGAATGGAAGAATTAAGTGAGATTATGTTTGGTGTACCTATCGCCCAGCATATAGTAATAACATGTATTCATGACGATAATCAAACATTATTGATATACGTACACTAATTATGGAATGATTATAATTACCTAGGTGTACTGATTTCAGTAATTTTACACAAGAGATTAATTTAATTTTGAAAAAAACAACACTTAATTACGTACATTTTTGTGATTTGTAAATCCTCAATACGCTGTATCTACATTCAATCAACATTCAAAACATCCGTGGAAAGTTTCATCATATTATTCATATTATTGATCAATTCATATTTTTTTAAAGAATTCACGGTTCAAATATTTTGCTTCAGACGTCTTGAAAGTATTTTGCCCCTTCCGCTATGGCCTAATAATATAAGTAATCTCGATTTTCGTCATCTACATTGTACATCATCTATACGTATTCTTGTTATTTAATCTCTAGGAGGTCGCGACCGCCAGGTTGAGAAACACTGCCCTAGTGCACATTTTGAGAGCCGGTGATATAAGATTAGGTTTATATAGCTGGTATATATTATACGGATTCTTTTATATAGAGATCAGCAGTTTTTTTCATTCACATATTTCGCATTATGTATTCATTCATTTTTGAGTTAGTCGCCGAATAATAAATTATAGTTCGATGGTATGTTAATGTAAACTGCTGTCGTCGGATTTCCCAGTCCATTGTGTTAAGAAATATTGATCACCAACAAATTGAATAGGTATACGTGCTTGTATTTAAATCGGTGGGGACGCACACGTTAACGGGAGAACATTGACCCAAGACTTTTTGAAAATAATACTAAAAAGTAAAAAGTATAATCGGTAGTTGATTTTTTTTTGAACCTGTTATGGCGTAATATCAATACATATTAACGTTGATAAAAAACCGGTTGTTTTACGTTTTGATTGAATTATTCTCGAATTCATGGGTGTTATTCCGTAAAACTTATACTCGAAACCAAAATGCATCAAATTCTTTTAGGCTGCAGGTGTCTACACAAGTAATGTTTTTTGGCAGACTTTTGTTTACAATTGACAATATTGAGTACAGAAACAATTTGTTATGTTATAATAATATGTGGATGGCTGTAATATGATGAGGTATCGTCTATAAAAAACCTATGTTTATGTCAAAACCAAAATTGTTCAAGTTTTTTGTTTATAAATTTATCACCAAAATACATTAGAACCATGCACAATCTGCGATGTGTGTATTATACCTATTTAAATGGAAGATAATCTATAAATCGAGCCAGATTATAGTACCTAATCGAAAATCAGACAAATTGCGTACATTTGCATTAGAATAAAATAATTTTAATCGTGATGATTTATAAAATTTAATTCATTCGTCCTTTCATAGTTATGGCATATTATGTTTATTACATTTAAACGTAAATAACTGTATAACTATTTAAATTTAATGGAAATTTAAAAATAATTTTACTTTTAAAATTTTTAATTTACATAAATTGACCTCCAAAAATATAAATACGGACATACCTTAATGTTAAAATTATTACATTAAATCGGATGTCAAGAACGCTATTTAGAAAATGTTATTGAGGATGACAAACATGATGGTGAATCATCGTGGGTTTTTATATGTGTTTTTACCCATAATTTATTAATTATTGTATATAACAACAGTAAACAGTATTATACTAATTATGATTAATTCTATGACATTGAAAGTAATTACAATCTAACATCAACCTTTAAAATTGTCATCTTACATAATATAAATAAATAGTTGTATTGTCTTATTATAAGCGTTCAGTGGCCATAACATATAAATATATTATTATACATCAAAATATCGTGCCAAACGATTGTTAGCCTACAATATTATAGTGTATACAGTTAACGATACTAGTGAATATTATGTAATGTAGTAGTAATTAAATTCCTTATTCAATTTTTCTAAATTATAAATTTAAATACATTAAATTATTGAGCAATGTTTGCATCGGAGGTAATGTGTATTAATTTAAGTCAATTATGATTTGATTTTAATTCTATTTTAATATTGTATAATAGGTATGCTAATTATTATACATAAAAATTAGTTTCGAATTTATCCAATAAAATATTTTAATATTTAAAACAGTTGTACAAGCCCAACGAAAATGTATGCCTAGCTATTACTACAGTTATCATAACTCATAAGCACCTACCCATTGCATATTTATAATAGATTAAATACGAACTCAATAATGTAAACTGCAGTGTCATAATAATATTTATGAATAATTATTAGTTATAACTTTATACCTAGCTACTTAATACTTTCTAATATATGACAGCGTTATGATCGACATCACAATTAATAGTGATACATATATTTGGGTACTTATTTGAGTACCTACTGAAAGATATATAATTCTTAAAACCGTTTAATTTATGAAGTATCATTTAGGTAGGTACAATACTAATACAAAAGCATTTTGAAGTTTTTAAGAATTTTGGATAGAGAATCTATTATAGAGCTGATGGTTGACTATTATTGAAATAAGTGTTTCACTTGTGACGATTTAAAATGTATTAATTTCTATAGAGAAGGTTGTAGACACCTGTTTTATATATTTTATAATCACAATTTTAAATGGAACTTATTACCTATAAATTTATAATATTTTACATTCTGCGATGTTTAAAGGACGCATGTTAAAAGGACACACATAATATTATGTATTTATGTATCGTTCCCTTCTTAAAATTGTAAAAAAAATATTCTGTGCAGCAAAGAACCGAGAAGGCTACAGTAATAACTTGAGCTTGGAAGTTGATAACCTTAGAACAATTAAAAAATGACCTTAAAAATTGCAAATAATGGTTTAAAATTAATAAAAACAAGATTGTTTTTTATAAATTTATAAAATACAAATCAAAAAATATGTAAAATAACTCAACATTATTGGATTGTACTACTAGAGCATATTTGAATTAAACACAAAATTAAATCAATAACGATTATCTGATAATCGATATATTTTATATTTAAAAATACTTAATTCTCTGTGATTGGTATAAATTTTAAATGAGCCAAATCTCTCTTAGCGCTAAAGTCATCCAGAAAAATTTACTTGAAGTTAAGCTTCTTTAAGTTAGTATTTTAATGAGTAAAAATAACTAAAAATGTGGACAAATTATTAAAAATTACATATCACTTTTAAAAGTTCAGAAAATGCAAAATACACAAAATAAAAAATAGTTTTTTAGATTCACGTGCTATTGAAACACATTTTCAGCTAAGAAAGTATCACCTTAGAAATTAACAAAGACAACACATGCGAGTGTAGCGTCCTCTTAAGGAAGATTTTATGGTAATGTGGTTTAGACTGGGTAGAGGTTGTCCAAATGTCCAAATTTTATAATGATTCGATCTTATATCACCCGATTTTTTCAACCAAAATAACCTGCAATATCCGTGTTTGCATGCATTCGAGTCATTCGAAGCACACACCTGTTCGAATGTACCTTTATAAAAGAGCATTTTTTTGACACGATGCGTAAAATATATCCTCAGTGTTATAAAAGAACGAAAAATAGCGACAATACTATATACGTGAAAACATTTTGCATCGCGTGTGTAGATTAAAATACATAATGTAGGTATACAATTTGTAACATTTCGATTACACTTAAGAAAGAGGAGACGAAAATGTTATTTATCATTTAAAAAAAAAACATTTTTCGATGCCTTAAAAATAAAGGATAAAAGCTCCAACAATAACCATGTACATATATATTGAACTCACCGTCAGCAGAAGCGGGGTCGGGAGCATCGGAGATGCAGCGGCGGCGTGCATGATGATAATAATATACGAGTCTTAGGAGACGTCTGCCCGCACATGTAGCACTGATACGAACGCGCACTATAATAATATTACGACGATCTTAAATGTTGTGCACGGGATCGTGATCGAGAAGAGGGCGCTCGTTCGTAATGATGATAATAATATGTGTACGACCGCGCGAATGTGAGCCAGTGGGTCAAGTCGCGGCGACCACATCGATGGCGGTCGATCAGATTGAGCGAAAGAAAGTGTGTGTGTGAGAGAGAGAGAGTGACCGAGTAAGTTATCGAAGAGGGTGAGCGAGAACGATAATAATGACGACGAATGACGATAATAATAATAATAATAATAATAATATAAATATATTACACTCTCGCGGCGACCAAGCATTGCGACATGGCTACTACCTATATGTATATAATACCTACACGCTCGACAGCCGACTATGTATGTTTAATAATTATTAAACATTACGCAATTATTTCTGTAGTTTTTATTTATTGTACGCCTCACATACTATACAGCTTAGGTATACGTTCGGCGTTTATGTTATGTTTTACTGTTTAGTAATATTTTGGTATCGCCACCGCAATGGCAATCTAACGAGCGTATTGACGTGATCTAGATCTAGTGGGACAATATTGGTTTTCTGGGTGGGTAAGCCGTAAAGGTGTGCTAGTATATCGTCCGAAAAAGATTTAAGGTACTCATGATGGGAACCACAACAGTGGTGCTGTAAAAATGTAAAATCCGGTTGTCTTGGCGGTGATGGCGGTGGTAAATAATAAAATTATGTTCCGCTCATAATAGGCGTGCGCAGACAGACTCTAAAAGCAGGTAGTGCCCATATATTACCATTGGCCGACTAAAGTCAACAATTTAGTACATTTGAAAATTTTTTCCGCTATGACGTTGTAGGAGTAACGTTTTGAATCACCACTAACAATATATTATCATGCACAATATCAAACTACAGAGTGCACATAGTAAATTATTCAATTTTTTTCAAATTCGCTTTAAAAATTCAGTAATTTAAGTGAATTCGTGATGAATAAATGGGTAATATACGCTTCGACCAATGAAAAATTACAGTGGGTACACTCTGTGTGTATGCCTATCATGATTCATGGTCCTGACCGCTTCAGTTACCACTGCAGCGTGTAGGAGGACGTTAACTGTAGACTTATGTAAGTGTATATCCAATATTTTTGCCCTCCAAGCACTGGCGCTCTGTATAGGACATATAGGTCTGTATGTCATATTATGTAACTCTAAAGAATATAGTGGCGTGAGGTGTTGGTTGAGTGTGTGCCATATTTGATAAATAAGTCTCATCACGGATTCTTTTCGCGTACTTACATGGGGTGATGTACTCTATATTGGCTGGCTCAATAAATATTTTGTATAAGTACCGAAAACTATCTTTGTTTTATTTGGGAAGGTACCTAGGCATTATATTGGTTAGGTCACGAATTAAGAACATTACTACCTAATTTGAGTTCCAAAATATGCATAATGCGCATCATGTGTCATTGCACGCTCAACACCATCCGTATCGACTGTATCACACACTCAGGTTTCAGAGGTAGGTACTCAATAAAGTTAAATTTAATATAATATCATTATAGCAAACGATAATTATAATACTAACTAACTATAATAACAGTTTCAAATCAGCAGCAGTGTCGTTGTCGGACAAAATGGTATTGTGCAGATTGTATACACATCAATACACCATTAAAGAAAAAAAAACAATACATTTATATAATATACGATTGTGTTCTATCAAGAATTTAAATTATTAAAATCATCTTAATTACTATCTATATAGTGTATAAGTAACTATAGTAGCCATACCTCTATATTGTATAACAGCGGTAACTTCTAAACCATCATCGAGACTTCGATCTTCTAAAATGTCACCGACATTTTTGGCAGCAATCTTTTTTATTATGATACCATTAAAAAGTGTGTATTGTGTTGACGAACATAATAAACTATTATCGAGTATGGTTAATCTTAATTCTCAGCCTCATTTTACTGCAGTAGCGATATGAGAACGAGAAGACTAAAATATTGTATAGTAGTTGCGTGGTCATCATTTCATCAATCACGTCATTTTCGTGGCGTATTGTGCAGTGCGCCGACGGACCACGTCATGATATGGTAACTCGGTTAAAGGTGTAAACGTTTTTCCTTGCACGAACCATGGTTAGCGAACGCGAACCGCAGTAAGTGAACGCAAACCGCGGTAAGCAAACGCGAACCGGGGTAAGCGAACGTGAACCACGGTAAGTGAACGTGAACAACGATATTGTGTTCGCATTGGCTTGGTTTATTCTAGACGTTTAAACGTCACAGTCGAGAAATTAATAATTTATACTTAGTCGTATTAACATATTCAGTCGTACTCGATATTTTAAAGTGTTAAGTTCACGAGTTTTGTGAGTATTTTTCGTTTTAAAAAAAATATTTTTATGGATAGAAAAATCGATACAGATATCTTGAAAATTCTTTTACTAAAAAAAGAAGAGGATGATGAGGATTTGTTCTATAGTGTTAGCCAGGAGAAAAAAGAAAAGGTCATGATCCATTATTAAGGTACAAAGTTAAACACTATGTCGTTTTAATACCCGTTTGAGTGCCACTGAATTGCTATAATTATAAAACAATATTATAGGTATACACGAAAAACATGATACTGATGATGTTCACACTAATACTGTATGATGGTAATTGGTAATATATTGTTAACTTTAACCTAAAAAAATAGCCCATTTTCGGTTTTTTAATTTCCAATAGTAATTGAACAACAATATAGGTAATATATATGATATATATAATATAGTATATTATTATTACCAGTTTATTATATTATTATGCTTAATTATGTTATACATACCGGGTGTCCCATTGCGAAATCTCCTGAAATAATAAATATATCATCATAAATCTGTTTTTTTATTAGACTCACATAAAAAATGGCTACTTGTATTTTATTTTTTTATTTTATTTATTTTTTTAGAAAAAGTTTAAAAAATTATTATTTTTATTTTTGAAAAAATAAAGATACCTATTTTATAGAATTTATTTTGCTGAAAATGAAAATGTTGACCTTTCAACACTATAGATATTTAGTGCCTTAAAAGGCAAGCAACGTCAACTGCCATTACATTAAATTCATCATTTCGTACTTACACAAAAAAATAAAATAATTGGTGTTCATACATCACACGCTATTATACCTATATATATATGTATATACTAATACGCTTTTTTTACTCAGAACACTTGAAATGTAATCTGTTTTTACGTAAACGACGTGCCCGTTTAATGCTTTTAAACCCTTTGTAGTATTATGTGACCGTAAAATTATTTCCGAAATCATAATTACGTATTATATACAGAGTGATCCTCTTAACAGAAAACACAGGTTATTTGAAAAATTATACTCAATATAATACGTGTATTTAGTCTTTATACGAAGTGCATCGTAATTCGTAGGTATTTTTGAAATTTATGATTTTGAAAACTGTAAGAAGCGTACAGTTGTAATATTTTATGTTCTATTTCCTCATCCCTCCTTATTGTTATTATATTCATCGTTGAAACCACTGCTAGCTATAGAATATTCACTTTTGGTTTTTAAATTTCAACCAACAATTATTTTTATTTTATAATTTTAATTTACGTAATACTTGTATGAAAATGTGTAAACTAGATCATTTGTTGTTTTAGCACTTAAATCACTACCAAACATAAAATAGGCGATATCAAATTTTGCGTACTTCTAAAATTTTTCAAAAAAAATTGTAAATACAGTTAATAGTTTTTTTTAATTCATAAGTGCTCTTAGTTTTAAAATAACTATCCATTATACTATACGTAAATATAAACTTTTTATATTTATAGGGCATATTAATTCATCGGTTTGTCACTGTTGACAATTATTGTTTTCTAACTGATAATTTTAAAATAATATAACTTTCGAAAATTATATAGCTTTTTGGTTCACTTATAATCTTCAAAAAAAAAAAAAAAAAAAAAAAACATAATAATTATAGTGTCCTGCAAAACACCCAATATACCTAAGTGTGTGTGCAATCGTCAAAGGGATGGAATGTGAACATTTCTTAACATTTTTTTTTCATTGCAAATCACAGCCGAGTATTCGATCGGCATGGCAAATGGAGCTTATATTATGCGTAAGTCTTTTACGGCTCAGGCGAGTGGGATAAAATATATTATGGATATCTCCGCGATCGTTTGACGATAATTTTAACTATTTTTCCGTCTGACCTAGTCGTATACCATACTAATATATTATTATATATTATTAAATTGGCTCGCAGGATATGTTTATATTCTCTATATTATATATGGACGCGAACACAATAATTTAATCGATTTGCAGTCAAAACGCTAGTTTATGGTAACGACTAGCCTAACCTAACCTAACCTAACCTAACCTATTTAATATTATATATGCATATATTATAGAAGCAATACCTATTTTTTCTGTTACGGTAATTGCGTTTTTTGAATGCGCGTCGGGTCGAAACACTTTATTTTGTGTAGTACTTTTTAGGGTAAAGGAACGCCTAAATCGATTCTGCTGATCCCGTTGAGTGTGCCTACATAATACAGACCAGCCTTTCTTAACCATACGGTCGTGACCTAATTTCGGATCGTGAATCATTTTGAATGAGTCGTCAAAAAATTAAAACGACGATATAATTTTATATAATGAAATATTAAAATGTACTTATTTAATATTATAACTTGTTATTTATATAATGATAGTAATACGTGCGAGTAAAAATAAATAAATTAAGATAGCAACTGCAAATTATTTTAGTCATGGTAATTCATATACATTAAGGAGTGGGGGTAGGTTCCATCCAAGATTGGGTAAATATCTTGAATCACCAACATATAAAAGTTGAGAGATACTGATATATAGTAAATACAACACGCGTAACTGGGTTTTAACTTTTTTAATTTTGAGTATACTATAGAAAATATTTCAAGCTCGGAGGACTTGCCATTCTCGAAATATATGAGGGATAATTATTAGAAATAATTAAAATGTGGATAACTTTAGTATTTTTTTCCTTTGATCCAGTAAAGTACTATCTTAGCTAAAAATCGTTTCATTATTCTCCCTCAATTCAGAATTTATATACTACT